GGCAGGGGCTCCTGGAGGAGAGATTGGTGTGGATTCGACATGGCAGTAGTTCACACGTAGGGCCCCTCCAGGGGCAGCTCCTGCTTCCATTTCATTAGGGCACGCTGCACTGCTGGGGGAACTTCTGCCCTGAAACCAGTTCCCAAAAAGGGGACAGTTGCACTTCTTTTATTCTCACTCAGAAAGCAATTTTGCTGCCTGCCCCAGGAGCCCCCATACGCAATGGGAAGCGCAGATGCTGCGCGCTCTGTCTGCTTTAGCAAAGCCAGGAGGTGCTGAATCAGCCCCTTCAACACCTTCCAGCCTTGGGCACGAAGGCTGAGCCCTCAAGTTGCTTACTAAGAGAAACAAACTGATCTCCCTTTTGAAAGGGATGTGAAATAACCCACAGACACGGATGCAAGTAAAGCCCTGCAGGACTGACAGTTGGTCTTCTGTCCTCTCTTGCTTAGATAGCACAAGAGATCCGAGAGAAGGAGCCATCAGCCCACCTTCTCCATTGCGTGTATAAGAACAGATCCTTCTCCTACCACAGAATCACTCTGGTTGGAAGAACTTCCCAGATCCCCACCCTGCCATGCCCACATCCCTCAGTGCCACAGCCCCACGGTTCTGTCACAGCCCCAGGGCTGATGAGCCGCATCCCTCCTGAAACAGCTGACAAGTACTACACAATCCCTGCCCCTGAAAGCTCACACACTGAACACCAAGCAGGAGCTCTGTGCCCTTGCAGGTGCCAGCAGCCATTATTCCAACGCAAGGCGTGCAGTGGGACTGCACCTCAGGTTTCAGGTAACCCCACTGTTGCTAAAAGCAGCCCCAAGCTCGTGGTTTGCCTCTCTGTAACAACATGGCCAACTGCACAACTCAGACCCAAGCTCCGCAACCTGTTCCCAAACATGCTGAATTCTGCTTCGGTTCTCTTAATTGCCATCATTTTCTCTTTCTCTCCTTATTTACTCATTAATTTCCACGGGTTTTCATTTCCCACAGCCTGAGCCCTGCTGAGACCACTCTGCAGACCTGGGATTGCACGCCACAGCCCTTCCTTCTGCAGGGAAAGGTCAGGGATGGAGGTTTAGAGCACTGAGAAGAAAGGCAGCAGCAGACAGACAGAATGCTCATAAAGACCTGGCTGTGAGCTGCGCTGAGAAAATGTCAGGCTGGGGAGGCTGTAATAGCTTTAATCTGCAGTACAAGGGGATTAAAAGACTCGTTCTCACAGGACAAAAAAGAAAGGAGCAGAGCGGAAGGAGCCGAACAAGAGGAGAATGGAGGCTGCAAGGGGAGGAAAGGAGAAAGTTAAAGAGCTCAGCTATAAAGAGCATCGCGACTCAAAGAGCTCCATCTTCCAGCGCAATAAAAGTGAAGTGGCCTGCATGGAAAAAGGGCTTCAGCCCATGCCTTCCCTTGTGCTTTTTCACACTAAGCACACACACTTCACCCTCCTTCAATCAAGGCAACTTATGTTTGGCTTTGTTGATTTTCAGGGGCAAAGGAGTAGGAGGGGAAAACAGAAGGTTAATGAGGCTCTGCCAGATGCAGCACTCCAGAGGAGCTGTGGGTGTTATATATTTTAAACAGTGGTTTGTGGTCTTTGATCCTCACCCCTGCTGTCCCTCTGCCAGGATGGCCCTCGAGCCCCCCTTGTCTCCAGGGCTGTGGAGGAGCCCTGGGAACAGGAAGGAAGCAGGAGCATTGGGGGATGCTCTCCTCAAGTAACCTTTCAGCAACGCTGCAGCAACCTTTTCAGCCACTCAGGAAGGCCAGGAGTGGGAGAAAGCCTCTGTGGAAGGGGGAGGAAAAAGGGCAACTTTAAATACTTAATGAAGGGGAAAACAAAATCCAACCTCAATGCACCATTTCAGGGAGATATACAGGCATAGGAGCCGCTAACAGGGAGAAGAACAAGCTGCACTCCAAGAGGGAAATGAGGCACTTGAAACCAGCTTGCAGTACTGCTCAGGAAGCAGAGCTGCTTTGGGCTGGATACAGAGCACAGATCAAGGCAAGACAGCAGGAAACTCAGGGCACATCCCCATTAGCACACTGCCAGCACTGCCCTTGATGGCAGGAGGTCTCTTCCCCACCTATACATACATAAGGAGACACACTCCAGACTGCACAACTCCAAAGATCTGTCAGCACAGGATGCTAGAAGAACCATGAAGGAGCTCTGGCTTCCCCCTATTGTCACCTGCACCACCCCCAGGACTCCAAGCAAAAATCAGCGAGTTTGTAGCAGCTTTCCACTGTTAAACAGGAGAGGAACCATTTCTGCCATCCAGCTTCCCAGCTCAGCAGGCTCACGTGTTAGGGGAGAGGCTCTGGAACAGCACCAGGCAATGCCAAATGTCCAAAGCTGCTTCTCTCAACTATTCCACTATTTGAACAGCTCAGGCTGCCTAGCCCTCTGTGCACAAAGACAAAAACCAAAACGCAATGAGCACACTCCAGACAGGAATTAGAGTACAGCATATCCGGTGGAGACAGGGGCTGGAGTGGCATTAAGGTAGGAAGAATATAATTACCTGAAGTGGATGGCAGCCAGGAAAATGGTATTAATTTATTTCAAGAAAGCCAGAAGTGCCCAAACCTGAATTTTACATTTAAATCTAGAAGATGGCAAATCACAGCATCCCAATTCCCTTCTTCCAGGGTCTGGCTGGGAGGAAAGGTCTCCAGATGGGTTCTGACTCCCACTGCCTGTGGCCACAATGCACCCCACCTCCATCTGGGAAGCCAGGTGCCATCCCAGCACAAAGCTCTGCTGTGAGGCACACAGCAGCAAGGCAATGCCTGCACCACACAGCACAGGAAAACCCATGTCCCATTGCATACAGCTCACCTGCAGGCAATAAAGCCACGCTAGGTCACAAGCAGTCACAGGAACGTTCTCTAGAGCACAGCCACTATTTGGTCTGCTAATAATTATCCACTGCTCTGCAGAGATAAATGCTTAATCCTCTGGTTGTTGACACTGGAAATGGACCAGTTGGGCCTGGGGTGGATATCATACAGGGGAACTTGGCTCCAGCTCTGATCCCTGCATCATGTGCTGTACAAATGTTCACTGGCTTATAGGTAATGGATTTCATAGGGTGTATGGGATCTGTCTATGGCAGAGCTAATCTAAAATAATACATGACCCAAGCATTCATTGTATCAAGTTTTCCTTCCTTTTCTGTGGTTTTTTTTTTTTTTTTTTTTTTTCTTAGATTAACATTTCAATTTTTTCTTTCCTCTTTTCCTTATAGCTTACCAGCTTTCTCCTCTAGGACTGGTATCAGGGAGAGCTTCCCAAGCAGCAGTGCCCAAAGGACATTGAGATGGGCCTGCATGATCCCTACTCAGAGAGAAAGGAGCAGAGCTGATGATACCTGAGAGGGGAAAATTGTGCACACTGTTGTACACAAGCAGCCTCTGCCACAGGATGTTTTTTCATTTATTTCTGCTGGCCTTGTTTGCTTTACCAAAGCAATATTTCCAACCCAATGGAAATAAACTTCCAGCCCGAGTACAGAAGTTTGCTATTGTTGTGCTCAATTTAATTTGAAAGTGATAGGGAGATGAAGAAGCAGCATTAGAAAAAGAGCTGAGCTTCCTATTGCATTTTGTATTGCTCAACAAGACACAGAGAGGGGCTACTTGTTCTTCCATTGTTCCTGGGCAGCCTCATCTCGACTGTGAGCACAGACTAATATCTACAGAGAATGGGAGCTTGAAGCCCAGCCTGTAAGAGCTGGAGAAAGGGCTCCAGCAATCCTGGGTTCTGCTTTCCTTGCTCTAAGAAAGAAAAAAGAAAAAAAGAGTTCTGGAGATTAAATCTGAGATCTCACAATCCAAACTCCTGAGGTCTGCTCCTGACTCTGCTGCTGATTTGCAGTGCATGCAAGTAAACTTACTTCATCTCTCTGCCCCAAGCACTCCCAGGCAGAATTACAGAATGGGTCAGAAGGCTCCTTCAGAAATCTCCTGGTCCAACACCCCTGCAGTGACCAGGGAACACAGAGGAGATGCTACTACTGCACCTTGTGAGCAAGTGCACACACACAAGATGCAGGCTTTGCATGAAGGATGCAGAGCACACACACACACTCCCCAAGCAGTTACCTGGTATAACCACAAATCACCGTCACAGCACTCCAGCCAAGTGCCAGTTCTCAAGCTACAGCCCTCTGAGCCCACCAGCAAAAATCACAGATTATTTTCATCAGAAGGAATGAATACTGAGCTGCTTGCCTAGTGCCAGAGGTCAGGGCATATTAGAGCAAAGACAAATCTCATCCTTCCAAGGACAAATCCTGTGTTTGTAAGCACTGTGCTAGCCTCTGCCCCCGGGTGGAGCTGGTAGCATGCAGTCTGCAGTCCATCTCTGACTTATCTTTCTCAGCAGACACTTAATGATATCCCTTATCAGTGCAGTCTTGGCTCTCCAAACCCACTAAGTTTAAGAGAAAGCAATAGCAAGCAAGCACACCATGAGCACCTGGGAAAGCACCAAGCACAACAGGGTATGGACATCACACCAGCCCTGGCTGACAGCTCCTTGTCCTGCTGCCTTCGCCCACTCCTCAAGGTAGGCGATGCAATAAGTGGAAGCTGTAGGGAAAGAAAAGGGAATCAGAAGCCTGGCAGTGAAGGAAAAGGTGAAAAGGGTACTCCAAGTGGATAGTGTCTAAAGGTATGAGTGCTGCTTCCCAACCTGCTGCTTGGCCATTTGTGGTCATCCCATACAGAACATTCTCTAGCACACTGTCTGATCTGCTCTTATGCTCTCTAACACACGTGCTCCCTCCTGTTCCAAATAAATGGTCAACTTCACCACCTCAAAAGTGTCATTGCTGAGAATCTGCTCCAATAAACTGTGCAAAACTGCATCGATTCATTACATTGTGCTTTGCCTTGGGATGTTCTGGGGCTTCCTAACAATATACTTCCAGGCAGCAAGCTACTCCTTCCCAGTATTTATTGCACAACACAGGCAGGCAGACACACACCAGAAGCATGAAGAAACACAGCCATGTGTCCATCATTAAGCAGCTGTCTCTGGGAAGGGCAGAGGCTCTGCTGTCAGTAGTGTACATGTTCAAATTACATGATCTCAGCACTCCAAGAAACTGCATGAAAAGCACCACTCGGTACAGTAACACGGAAATGAGCTGAGATCTTGCATGCTTTCCTCTTGCAATGCCTCCTCTTTCCAGTGCTTTAATCTGTTGAGAACACCAGGAGCAGCATCTCCTTGATTTGCAAAGTCCTGCACTGATCAGTTCAGTGATCCACATCCTGGCAGAAATACAGACAGGTCTGCTTGCATGCACTTTCCAGGTCCTTGTCATTGGTCTGGCAGAGGTAAGGTGCTGCTCTGAAGGCCATTTAACAGCTGACACCCCCTGGCACACATTCAGCATTCCTTCTGGCCTCAGAGGTGTTCACTCCTCTCCTGGAGCTCGCTGTGAGGAGCACTGTGCAGGACACAATTTATGTGCTGTGTGCCACACAGAGGTCAGCTCCTTCTCTCCTGTGCCCTCCAAGTGAATGTCTGTGGGACTGAACTATGACCCATCAGGCAAAATACACAGTCATCCTGAAGTCCAATTAAGTTACCAGTCCTCTTCAGGCAAGGGAACAGTTCTCTCTCCTAGGATCAGTCTACCCAACTTGCCTCTTGATATTCAGTCAGCAAAAGATGCCAGAACAAGACTGCGTCAGCGTGGCAGCAAGGAGACAGCTTGTCTTCCAGCTTCCCAATCACGTGGGATGCAGGGATGAGCTCCTGGCTGACTCCATGGCTGATGTCATCACACTCCATCCACTCCCCATCTTCCTTCTGGTAAAACAGATGGCACGGGGCAGGCTGCTTAGAGAGAGCAGGGACAGCATTTGGCCTTCCTGTCACCTGTCAGCTAGATACCATCACACCACATCTCTGCATGCCAATGCCAGGTGGAGCTTGAAGTCACAGAAGCAAAGCTTGTGTGCCATCTGCCTTTATACATTAGGACTGGTCAGGCACATGGGCAGGACATGACATTCCAGCATCATCTGTGGGCAGCCTGCACATCCTTCTCAGACCATCCAGCTGCACAGAAGTCAGAAAGCTTCAGCCCAGGCTCTCCACCAGATCAGCAATGGAACAGGTTCTACATGGCAGAAAGAGCTCATCAGCCAGCGACACTGGGTCTAATCCATCACCCAGACAAAACAGAGAAGCCTGGAAGCAGCCTCATTTAGTTACAGCTGGAAGAATTCTTAACAAGAAGCTCCCAGACATGTTCAGTAAGCATCAAAAATTAAATCAGCCCATGCCTGTGGCTTCTCTCCTTCACTGCTGGCTACACCAGCCCTTGTTAATGTGCTGCACCACCTGCTTTCTCCAGACCACTAGAGTCAGATGGCACGACAGTTGCAGTCTCCAGCTCATCACTGGAGCCTTTCAGAACCAAGAACTCCAGCAGAATGTCCAAGAGGCAGAAAACCAGGTGCCTGAAATGGAAAGAAGACAAAGCTTAGCCAGTAGAGCTGGAAGATCAGCTCCAGACACACAGGAGCCAAAGAAAGGCAAGGCAGAAACACTGACTGTCTTCAAGAGATGAAAGATCTCAAGCCCTACAAGAAATGTTTCAAGGGATGGTTCAGTACCCCCACACCCAATCCAGGGAGTGTTTGAAAGCTGATGAGCACTGCAGAAAGCACAAAAGCATCTCCTGGAGCAAGATAGCATGTGCATTTCACTGCAGTTAATCACTTGAGTATTGCTTCCCAAATGCACAGCAACAGGCATGCAGAAAGACACCACGTACAAATATATGCAGCTCCCAGAGCTCTTCTACAACCAACAAACTAAACCAGGGTTTGTTTTATTTCCTTCCATGACATCTACAAACTAAGAAAGCACGACACCATAGTTAATGACTGGCTCAACAGCCTCCAGCCACACAGAGGTTCCAAAACACTTTCATAATCATCATGCCAGGTTCCTTGATAGCATATGAAGTCTGTATGTGAAGCGTATGAAGATCAGCCAGATAGATTCTACATGAAGCAGCTCATGTCAGAGCACAAAGCACAGCTTACAGGCCCCACAGCAAGGTAAGGAGACCATAACCAAAGTACCTGTTTATAACAGGATGGCCCAACGACTCCAGCACCAGGCTCCAGCTCATGCGACATTTATCGGTTCCAAGGATTTCTTGGACCACATCTGTCAACACCAGAGGCAAAGCTTTAGGAACAGCACATTTTCACTGTAGGAAAACAGGCTCAGTCTTCTCCTGGTGGGTGCCAAATCAAAGTTTGTGACGGTGCTTCTGAGGGAGAGGCATCTTGTGCCCAACATTACCGTGAGAGAAAATATCTAAGGGCAGGCTGATTGCCAAGGAAAGTGTTTCTGCCTGGAACAGAATGTAGTGGTAGAACTTTTTCATTCCCAAAGGGCACTAAAGGCTCCTTACACTCACAATTCCATTCAATGGAAAAGTCACTTTATCACTTTCAGAGCAAGAAGCCAAGTGCATGGCTTCATGACTTCAGCAGTGGCACCTCTAACAGCAGGCACAAGCACAACATGGCACAGGCCACATTTTGTTGGAGTGGCTCATAACAGCTGTGCTGCAAGCTCCAAGAAGGGGCACATGGCAGCCTGCACCTGAGAATCACTGTGCCCTCTGTCAAGTTGTGCTGCTCTCTAAATGCTTATACAAGCTGCCTAGAACTGGGAAACTATTGCTTTTGCATGCAGGAAGCTATTAAAATCCCATAGGTTATGAATGTTTCCCAGTATGTTGACACATGCAGGCTCCATCTCTGTAGCTGTATATCTAGAGATGACAACGCACTGGAGAGTTCTCCAGTCTCACCCTCAATGGCAGGTGACATCTTTGGGGCACACTTACTAGGCAAGATCCCCATCAGGCTCTGCAGGGCCTGCTCTGCAGCTGCTTTCTTCTGTTCCTCTGTCCTGGCTGGTTTGGGCACTTCTGGCAGAACTCCTCCAGGCCAGATGGACTCCTGCAGCAGCTGGAGGTACTGCACCCAGCGCTGGGTGCAGGTCAGGTTGACCACCTGGACTTCCAGCCACCTGTGGAGAGAGAAAGGTAGGAGACATCAGGCTTGAAGCAGCCCCAGAGCTTTCTGGAAGGAAAATCAGCTTGCTGGGTAAGTTAACACAGCTTTCAAGTATAGATGTCGAACATTTTCCCGAGTCACTCCCCATCAGGGCTCAGAGGTGCCTGCAGCCAGCATGGAGGAGACATATCACCACCATCCAAGCTGGCCAGGGCACGTTTCTAAATGAATGGCTCAAGATTTTATGTCACTTCCCTGCACAACAGTGAAAGCCACAGCCATCGACCAGAGCGCAACACCAACTGAAGTCCTTCTTCCCCAGAGCAAGGAGCAGCCGTAAGCCAAATCCTCGATGCCACCGAGGCCAGCAGGAGAGTCCCCAGTGACTGAGAACTGGGGTCTGGTTAGGGAGAAGGCTCATGATTTCACCAGGACTTCAAGAACCACAGAGGAGCCGGCAGGCAGGGCCAGAGACCCGTTCCTCTTGGCAGCTGGCGTTCGTGCTTGCAATTCCGTCACCACTACGCCCCGGCAGCTCATAGTACATCCAAGAGCACAGGCCCTGCCAAGGCAAACTTTATTTAACCTGCACTCTGCCAGACTGTCTGCATTCTTCTCCGGCGAGGCATGTAGGCCAAGGGCATCTTTCCCTGTGCAGCAGAGACAATGCGAGTGGAGCATCAGGAATAGCAGCACGGAAGGTAAGAGTGCTGAACAGCAGGTAGGCCATGAGGGTGCACCAGAGCCATGGGGATGCGGGCAGTGGGCACAGCGGGGTGGGATTGAACTGGGGCATCTGAGAGGTCTTCACCAACCTGAATGATTGTGATACTTGTGTGTGCTGTGCAAGCCCAGAAACAGCGGTGGAGGAGGAGCCTGTGTGCTCAGCTGGGGACCACCAGTTCCTATGTTGCTACATGATAGCACAGCTTCCACCAGGGTAACAGGACAAGATGTCACAGCAGTGTCTTGTGTTTCAAACGTGCCTTTTCCCAAACAATCCTTTGAAAGAGTTTTTATCTCCAGCAATCAGTAGCTTAACGCCTCAGATCATGGTAAACCTTCCAGCCATCCCCAACCAAATTAAAGTGCTAAGCTGTGGCTCCTCTAGGGAGAAAAGCTTTCATTAACATGTTTTCAAATACAATCTGCTTCTCTAATTGAGAAAGCACTTGACAGGCAACAGAAGCTCAGAGACTTGGGGACAGAGCTGCAAACAGTACAACTCTGCATCTGGGGACACCAGATCCAATGTTGACTTGAAATTCACCTCAGCAACAGTCATCCACCACCCTCTAAAAGGTTGCAAAAAGCAAAGAAGAAACATTCTTTTTCTTAAGAATGCTCTTAAAATAGCAAAAACTCAAGCAAATAGCGCACAGAGTGAAAGCTGAACTCTGAGAAGGCAGCACACATTTCCAGACAGCTTGAGAACAGGCTGAGAAGTGACGGATGCTGGAAGGCCTGGTACAGACAGCCTCCCATTCCTAGCTCTTTTCTGTCTATAAAACCAGGCAACAGGACCTCCAAGTAACACCTATAAATCTTATCGCATGTGCACGCATTTTGATCAGGCAAGAGCTTGCAGGTCTTGGTTCCCACAGTTACAAAACATAGCAGATGGATTTTTTTTTTCCCCTGGTCTGGCAGCTCCTTGCCTTTCCATCTGGGAAGAGAAGGGCTGGATCCCAGGGCAGAAAGGGAGAAAGAGAGACCCAAAATGACAGAATATGCATGAAAAAAGAAGAGATCAGACAAGAACAGGGCTGAGAAGGAAGAGAAACCAAAGCTAGGTGCAAATGGAAGACTACAAACAGGGAATCATAGAATGCCTTGAGCTGGAAGGGACCCTTAAAAGGCCACCTGGTCCCACAGCTCCATCAGTGCTCAGAGCCCCATTCCCTGATCCTGTGTCTGCAAGGACAGGGCACCACCACCTCTGTGCCATCTGTGACAGTGCTCTGCTACCATCTCTGATAAAACACATTCTCCATTCTAAACTTCCCCTCCTATAGTTTGAAACCATTTCCCCTTTGCCTATCACAACACATGCTGTGGGTTCATTCCCTTCTGTCAGTCTATCAGCATGTGTTGACCCATCCCAAAAGCCCTGGGAAGACAGCAGTCCTCAGACTGGTGCCACAGCATCCTTGAGTTCTGCAACTCATGGGGAGTCATGTCAAGCTCTACTGAGAAACCCACCTGAGCAAGACCTAGATTTCTAAGGCACACTGACCTTTTCACCAGGCAGACTTGCTGCATCAGCACCAGATCAGGTTTAGCAGCTCAGGCTTCTCACACAGGAACTCCAAACATGCATGGGTCCAAAGCTGCCCCTCACCAGCTGATCCCAAATGATTTTTCTTGTACTATTAAAGTATTAAGCAACAGATCCGTGTGCCACATCACAAACACACATCCTTGCTTCCAGGTAGAAATAAATGTGGTAAGAAGCAGAAATAGAGCTATCCTTTCCAAGTTACTATTTCCATTCTGGTATTTAATGAAGAAATAACCTTAATAAGAAAAATAAACCCATCACCAAACCATCTCCTTAGACTTTGGCAGAGACCAGAAATAGAGAGAAAGTGACCTGCAGGGCTCAGACATTCAAATGCTTCAATAATGCCCAATGTAAGACGACAGGCTGCCAAGGCTACGAGCTCCTGGACATTCGTCTGGGGGTGCATAGCTTGCCCATGCTGTAAGGGTCCTCTGTCTGAAATAGCTGCTGATGGAGGAATTAAATGGCTGCTAAAAAAGAGCTGTTTTAATGCCATGGCTTAAATTGGAACTCCAAGGTCAGCTGAAGGGACCCATTAAGACAAGAACTGCAAAAGTGCTCTGGGAATGATGAACAAGGCCCGTGTAGCACAGACCTTGGTCCTCCTCTGCCCCCTGAAAGAAACAGGGCTGCTAATAGGGAGCAGCCTGGTCAGGAAGGGTCAGGAACAAAGCACTGCTTATGAACCAGAGCTTACCTGAGAACACGAAGCATCACTTAAGTGCTCTATCCATAGGGTTCACCTGCTGGAGAGGGCTCAACTCCCTGAGAAAGGGATTGTTTCTCCTGGAAAAGAAGGATGGACCACAACTGGCCCAGCAAACCAGAAGATACAGTACTATCCATACTTACAAACAGCTCTAGAAGGCTGAGAAACCTCTGCTCTCCTCCACCAAGGTAAGGCTGAGAACTGCCAAGTTCATTTGAGCAAAGGAATGGCTGGGTTGAACAGGCAGGAAAACCTTTTTTTTGGAACCAGTCGTGATTACAACTGAACATACAACAATTGTGAACCCACCCCAGACCAGGGACTGCAAGGATATAGACCAACAGCCCAGAGACTGTGCTAGGGAGGGAAAGATGGGAAAGTTTTTCCTTGTCTGCTTTAGCTATATAAATACAAATAGCTCTGTACGTATATATGATCTGTGCAGAACAGTAGCAGTAGTGCAGGTCAGGCTCTACTAACTCAGCCCAGTACAAAGCTTCTGATTCCCTGAAGTCACTTAACACAGCACAGCTAACCAGAAGCTCAAACAGGGCCTGTGAGACCCAGGTAGGGATTTAAGGAAAAGGCAACATCTGGAAATGCACAAGGCAGTCAAACACTTGACACCTATGAAATCAGAGAAGGCTGATGCTTAGATCACCAGGCCATCCTTCCTTCCAAGTCCTCGTCCCCCACATTCTTCCTCAAACGGTGCCTGAAACAACAAGAAGGCTCAGAAAGAGGGACACCTGAATGCTGCAAACCATTTCTGAACAGAGCTTATAAACCCAAAAGAAACAGCTGGAAGTGGGCACAGGGAGAAGGATGGAAAAGCACACAGGAGAGCTGTGCCCCAGGCTCAGCACCTGCTGCTAGAGCCCATGCTCACCTCCCAGGGCCACATGCCAGCAGCAGCACATGTAGCTCAGAGCTCACACACTCGGCCCCACCACCTTCAGAGCAGACCCACACTCCTCCAGCCATCAGTCAGCTCTTAGCAGAGGAAGGAAGCAGGAAAGAAAAACAAAAAAGTCCTCCATAAATCAAAGAACACGAAGCATCACAAGTCCTTTTAAACTTCTGGCCAAAGACACGCATGCAAAAAGTAAACTATCCTTCTCACCTTACTGGAAACGCTCCTCTCCCGCTGCTCTATAAAAAGTTTACAATTGTATATGCTGTGAACAATGCGTCCTGTACCCCTGCCCGAGCACACATGATGAAGTGTTTGACCAGCGAGGCAGCAGCCCCATGGCCAAGTGCCTTCCCCTCGAACAGAGTGTCTTGCCAGCCTCCCAAACACAGCTGTGCCAAGGGCAGCTGCTCTGGGGGAAGGAAGGAAGGAACACACGAAGCTGCAGGGAGCTCACACAGGTAGCAGAGGCAGCGTGCTTGGTAGTCCTGCCTGCACCAGCACTTTGCTGATGTGGTGCACTGAGATTGGAGCTGGAAAAGCACTGGGAGATGAAGGGCACAGCATGCACAGCATTTCCCTGGGGGCAGAACGCATCAGCCTTGCTGCTGGGAGGCACAGAGCCTTACCTGCATGTTCACATTTGCTGCTGCCACGTTACTGGCTGCTCTCTCCAACACATCTGCTGCAAAAAGCAAGCTCAGGAACACGTGGCTCCAGCTCTAACATCTTCCCGCAGTAAACCAACATAGCTGCTTTGCTGGGTTCTTACTTTTTTCACGTTAGTCTCCCTGCAACACCGCGGGGCTCAGGAAAGGGGGAAAAGCTTTGCAATGAAAAAAATCATCCCCCAAATCCCCTGATTTTGAACAAAGCATCCCAGCTTTTTGATAATATCTTCATCAAGTATTTATTGAGCCAATTAAGCTCTCAGCAGTGCCCCAGGGAGAGGCCAGGCTGTCTCAGCCAGGTCCTGCTCAAAGCAGATTGCTTCATTAGCCCACTTCAGAAAAAAAATACTTAATAACAGAATTAACCCTTCATGAGCGGGGAAAACTACAGCCCACAAGGAGAAATTACGTCCCTTCGATCTTTTCCTGCTTATTCTTCTCTGTTGGAAATTTTCTTTCTTCTTCATTTGGAAAAAATAAAGTTGGCAAGTCTCTAATTGCTGAAACAGAGTCAAAAGAAAACGAGATGCAGTTAAAATAATGTTGCAATTGTTATCAAAGTAGAGAGCACTCGCCTCATTCTAGCGGCTGTTTTTGGAAGAATGCTGCCTGTAAATGAGGGGGAAAGAATTGTTTGGGACAAAGATTCAAAGCCAGATCCAAAATTTCCAGGTGCTTGGAGACAACTGAATCAAGGCCCGTTTCCAATCGGCCTTTTATTTACTTTACACACACGAAGACACACACAGTCCTAAAGATTGCTTTTGCTGCCGCACCCCAGGCTTGCAAGTCCTGCTGCTGCTTGCAGCTGCAATGGCCAAAGCCAGAGGTGAGGAGGAGGATGCCATAAGGCTGCTTGCCCTGCATCCAAACTATTGCTGCTGTGCAGGCAGGGGCATGGGCTTGCAGCAAAAGAGCAATGAGATCTTTGCAGTCCTCACTGCAGAGCCAAAGGGATGCTGGCTAACCATGCCCACAGCAGGGAACAAGGCAGAGGAACAAATGGACTGGAGCACTCCACCTGCAGCAGAACATGTGGTGAGGGACATGTGGTGAGGGACATGTGGTGAGCTACCTGCCAGCAACAGAGCTAAAGGTAACTGAGTGCTGGGAACAGCTTCAGCACCAGCCTTCCTGGCTTCCCCTGGCACCAGAAAGCACAGGCTGGCTCTCCTCTGTAATAATGGCTTTTTCAGAGATAACGCAGAGAGAGAACAGATCTCTGCAGTGAACATCTGCCCAAGCACAACCACATCCTGCTCTGGGTACAGAGTGGTTTTGCACCATGCTTAGTACCAGGTCTTACTGCTGCTTTGGATGCAGACATAGCTTGTGCAGAGCTGACAGCTCTGGGCAGCCAGGACAAGGTGCTGGCCATGGGCAGCACATCCCCAGCATGCTCACGCTGCAGGTGCAGGCAGGCTGACTCATGGGCATTGAAGAGGATCAGGCAACACTACATGCTGGTGGCACTTGAGGTTGAGAGGATCAAGGGGGCTGCCATGAGGCTTTGTTTTTGCCAGTTCTGCTGGCAGAGATAAAGGAAGATAAAGCAGAAAAAAAAACCAGCAAGAAACACAGAAGAGCTGTGATCTCTGACACATACCACAAGTGCCCCAACACCTGGCCTGACACCAACAGGCTCCAACACAGAGCCCTGAATCCAAGAGGGCAGCAAAAAGGAAACCCAGGGTAGCAGAGCCCACCCGAGCCATCCTGCATGATGGCTGCAGCACCACAATGTGCCCTTACACAAGGAGCAAGGGGCAGAGATCTCTATGAGAGGAAACTGGACCTGTGCAGTCACCCAGATTGCTGCAGGGACCCCAGGGTTGGCTGCAAGGACTGCCTGCTGCTCTGCTGACAGCCTGTCAATCCCAGGATGCTGATCTGAGATGCTCACCTGGTGGGACTGTAGTTCCCAACTATTGGTTGCCCTGCCTTCAGAAAGTAACATGGTCCTGGGAGAACCCCAGCAGAAGCCAAAAGGAGCTGGCAGACCCCGACCCAGTGACCAGCATGCCACTGAGGACAGATCGAGGGCAGGGTACAGGGTCACAGCACAGCATTCTTTACGTGCCCACCATTTATTTTTACTGCTGCTTTGACTCACGGGCTCCAAAAAGGATGTGGATTCTCTAAATGCTTTTTATCTCTTTCCCTGAAAAGCCCAGAATAGCCCCATCTACTCTCAGCAAACAGGTTCCTGGTGAGAGTTCATCATTCCCAGCCCATAGGAGGGAGGTCAGACAGATGGGCAAGGAGCAGGGCTCAGTTACAGGGACCTGGAACATGCAGGGGCTGCTGGAAGCTCCCCTCCACCCACCTCTCCTTTCAGCTCCAAAAAAGGATCACTCCCTGTTACATAATGGGATGAGCACTGCTCAGATGCACGCTTGCACACACAGCTCCCTTTTACTTAACAATACCTTTTTCGGGCATACTCTGCACTGCCATCAAGCTGACAGTTAGCAGAGACAGATGGTGCCTGGCTCCAGAGACTGCAGCTACAGAGGAGGGGGAAAAGGGACCAGAGAGGAGCAGAGTGGGATAGGGAGGGCTCAGCCATCAGCAGCACGAAGGTAATGCTGGTGGCTCCACAGCAGTGCTGTAGAGACTAAAGCAAAGGAGGAGAGGTAGCTCCCTGCAGAAGTCTGACTTCTTCATAGACTGTGCTGCTGCTTTGATTTTTCTACTCTCACACAGGGCACATGGAGCTCACAGCGACAGCAGTGTCCATAGAGGTGGCTGCAGGAACAACATGTTTCTCATGGAGCCCAAGATGAGAGAGAAGCCTGCAGCGACAAGCCCCTTCTACTTTCTGATAAGGACAAGCAGAATTCAGCACAGACACATCCCATCCCAGGGACACGTGGTATCTGCACCCTGCAGGAGGTGCTGACCGTAGCACTAAGAAGCCACAGGACTTTGCACCATCACCTCCAGCCCAAGGTTTGCATGCAACACGTTCAGCTTCACCCAGACCCATTGAAGCTGAGCTGCTACAAACACATCTGTCCTCATGCTGCTCTGCCAGCACAACAGACAGAGCTCCTCCAGTTTCCAGAGCCAGGCATGTGCTTTGTATATGACAGCTTCTCTAGTGGAAAATACCAATGCCACGTGTCAGTGCTGCAGGCTCCCTGGGTGACTGGGACACAGCTTATTAGGAGGCTATGACATGCATGCTCAAGCTCTCATAACTCTGTGCTTACATGCAAGGATTGGGTTCCAGCTCATTCCCCAAGACACCAGAACCCATTTTGGAGAAACTGGACTAACACCCACCTCGTCCCACATGAGGAAACCAACTCAAGTGTGACAGCCAGCAGGCTCTGACCTCAAAACACTTCAGCAACCTCTGCTGAGGGCAGCTCAAGTTACCACCCAGGTTACAATGTGCTGTGCTGCACATTCTGGCACTGTCTTTAAATGCCTGCTACAGAAGAGAGGGTGCAGGAGTGGGAAAAGCATTGCCCTGAGGCTCCCCTAGCCCAAGTACTTCTGGAAAGGCTTATCTTTTACACTACAGACCATGTCCTCAGCTGGTGATAGTCTCTGACCTGCACAAAAAAAGCCAGAAATGCTCTGTTTGTGTGTCTTGGCCTGGTGCCTTACCACACAGAGGCACTGGCCTCAGAAAGGCTTGGCAAGCACATACCAACTGGAAAGGAAGTCTTTCCCTAATACATCTGTGGGTCAGTGCCCAAGGCACAGGCACTACTGGCCCACCACACATTGGAAGGGGATGCATCAGTGAGAGCAAAGGCCCTGGGAGCTGTTACTTGACAAGTCCCTGTTCCCCATGCCTGTTTATTCTCCTTTTACTGAGAACACAAGCTGAGGCCCTGAGCAGCAGGAGTGCAGCAGAAGCCAAACTCTCCCTGGAGAGCTGAGGAGTTGGACATATTCACTCCTTCTCTAAGGAGTAAATTCACACAGCTTTCCACTGTATCAAAAGCCAGAAGGCTGGCTCCTGGCATTATACTGCTGCTCACAGGGAAAGCAAACCTCCAAGATATCTACTCCATAGAACTCCATTTTAGAGTGACTCCAAAGGCAGTGCCACCATGCAGCTGGGAGGATGGTCACTGAGGTCTTACCTTTGAATGAGGGTCCCAAAGAGCAGGTGGAAGACCTTCTGGATATTCTCTATGCACAGCCAGCTCCAGTGATCCATCAGCAGCAAACGCAGCAAGTCCAGGGCCAGGTCAGCCAAAGCAGTCTCAGAGTCTGCCAGGAGGAAGAGGAGGATCAGATAAGTCAGCTCAGAGCCTAAGCAAACAGTGGTGAAAAGCAGATGAACTCCACTCTTTTCCCCAACAGCCTGAGCAATGCTTTGCTCCCCAGTTTAACACCTGGTGCAACATGCAGGTAGTCAGCCTGTCAATCCTGCCCTCATCATCCTCATTTCCACTTCCACTCAAGCAGCACAGCCCTGCAGCCACCAGAACACAGCAAGGGCACTTTTGTTCAGTCTCTGCTAACTTATCAACTCCTAGACTGCGCATGATGGCAGTGCGACCAAAACTGGTGAGAAGGAAGACTGCCAGGAGCAAGGAACACTGCTGAGGACCAGCCTCCCCTGTTTTCCTGAACGTTCCCCTAACACATGCAGTTCTCCAGGCACAGAGCTCTGCTTGGTGTCTGTGGGCTGCCATCGTGTGGCAGGTCCGAGTCTCAGCAGGACGATGGATGGAACATCTGGTTAATCCAGATGCATCAGTTCTGACAGTAACACTCCTACATCCAGACAGAAACACCTGCTGGCACAGATCAGGTACAGCAAAACTTCTCTCGTCCTCAGATGGATAAGAAAGATGAGAAAGCCTAGAGTAGAGTAAAAATAAAATTCAGCTTGCTAGAGAAACAACTCTACGCTGCCTGGATGCAGAGCATCGTAGAGGTGCAGAACAAAGCTGTCAAACCACAGCAAATCTGCCTGAGATAACCACTCCTAGGCCAGCATCTCAAGCTGATGCATTAAGGTTGATGCAGAAACCTGCAGAACTACTAAGCCACTTTCCAAGAACTCATCTTTCAACCTCTCTTCCCCTATAGAAAACTGATGGAGGTGAATGGGAGACTTTCCGAACCCCATCATGCCTCCTTCCCTCCTTGCTACTCATGAATAACTTGAGGCCATTTATTTGGAGGAATTCAGGCATTTGAGTGCACTCAGCCTCTTGCTCTGGGCCACACACAAGTTAATCCCATAGCTGTGCCCTTGGAGCTGACTGCCCTATGCAAGAACCAGAGCAGGCTGCTTGTTTCACTGCAACTCCATAGGTCAAAAAAAAGTGCTGTCAGTGAGCTGTTTGTTCCTGTTTGCATCCAAGCCTCCTTCCTTCCCGAGCTGCTGGCCACTCTCCTCCACCCAGCATGCAGATAGGGATGCTGCTTGCCTTTAGCCCAGACATACATTCCTTTTGTCCAGCCAGACCAGTCTGCCCTGTCTCAGCCCACAAGCATTTGACATCATTTATGTACAGGCTTCCTCAAGGGTGAAGCTAACTTGGCCTGTCTCTATCTCCTGTTCTCTGTACAGTGCTGACTTCCCATTCCAGTCCTGTTCCACAGCAGCTCCAAAACAACAGCAGGCACGTGTTCAAAGCTTACAGGCAGAGCTGGTAGCACAGGCTGTTTCAGAACCCCAGGCCCATCCTGTCACAAGCACGTGCTTCCAGTCAGAGCTTGTCAGACTTTCAAACCACTGGAACAAAATTTCTGGAACGTTCCAGCTGATACAGTTCAGCTATTCCAAGATTAGAGAATGTTTTTGCTCACACTCAGGGTAAGCTTGTAGTTGCTCTGAGAGGACAAAGACCTCTGTGATTCAGAGGAGGGATCTATAATCAGAAACTGAACATTGTTCCTTTAGCTGAGGTTATGCATTTGCTATTTGCAATGAATTCATCCCAACTTAAAAGACTCTCAAATAGCCTTGATTTGTCCATGGACTGTGAAAGGATAACTTGAGACTATCGAGAAACCATAATCTGGCATTTAATCCACGTAAAAGAGCTTGATTTGACAACATTAGCAGTTTAGGTAGCACATCCTAAAGAAATGCATTTCAGCAGTAACTGTAGTGAGCACACTAACATGAAAATCTACAGCAGCACAAATGAGCCAAGACTCGAGATGCCTCCAACAGCAATAAGGATGAGAGCAACTTCCCAAAAGCACCACAAAGGACTCAGCTTGCTGCCTCATCAATCAAGGAGCAACAGGCAGGGGACCAGATGCTCAGCAGGCAGCTGGTGCAGGACCTGGGGAAAAAGGCTGGAGCAATGGGGCTGAGCTCACCCGTGTCTGTGTCCAGATGTGCTCCCTGCTCCAACGTGTTCAGCCCATCTGTATCTTCCTGCACAGATTTTTCCTTGGCTTCTTCGCTCCCCTCGCCCTCAGGAGCTTTGCTGGGGACTGCTTCCAGCAGCTTCTCCTGCTTCTGGATGAAGGACTCCATAGCAGCCAGTGACAGCGTGCCAGAGACCTACAAAAGCACTGCTGTATCAGTACCAGCCTGTACTGCCCAGACAGCCCCCAGCATCCAATACAGCACCTAGAGGTGCTCAGAGCCTTTCTGCAAAGGCCTGACATGCAGGTACAAGGCTGCAGCAGCCACAATTGTGCACGTGGATAATTCCAAACCAGCAGCCCAACAGGGCAACGATCAGGATCATGAAAGCATCATAAGAGGGAACTGAACTTACAGCACTGCCCTCCCTCACAGAGTACACAATCCTGTCATGTGCTTCACTCACACTCAGCACTGGAGTGATTTTGCTGGATGGGAACCTCAGCCTGGACCTGGAGAAGGACACAGGACACAGTCAGGATTTCCCCCACAAGCTGCAAGCAATGTTTCCCAGTTTCAGCCAAGAGCTTGTACCAGCTGTTTGTTAAAACTAAGTCTGATAGGAGCTAAAGAGGTTCCAAGCAGCACCTGCCCCACCAAGGGCAACAAAAGCTAGCTGCAGAACCATGCAATGAAAGCTTTAGAATTACTTGTCTTCAATAACAACGTTTTTAAATACTGGCATCGCCACAGCTTTCCAATATCCACCACAACACCTTCCTGGACAGATGTTTTGGATAAGAGTCTGCATGCAGATGCACACGATGCTGTTCAGCAAGGTATGAGCACATCAGCACATCCAGGAAAGCATTCAGACAAGATCTGAGTTGAGACATACCCAGCAGCATTGTGAAATTTAATTATGAACACATAGAAGTAAAGGAGGATACGAGAGGGCATTTCAGACTTGGGACACATTGTAAAATAGTCTGTTTATCATGAAGGAATGTTATTTCCAGCCAAGATGCTTTAGAAGTTGAACTTCTTTTCCTTCTTTTTGTTCTCAAACAATTTTTGTTAAAAAAATTTATCCAATGCTTTTCCTAGCAAAACGTCTTTTTTTTTTTTCCCCTGGAACAGCAACAACAAGAGCTACATTCATGCTGTGGAAGTCTGATCATTCCTGGAAAAATCTTTAATCCAAACAAGGGTTCAAATGCCCTTCTCAGCATGCAAGAGAGAAAGAAACTCAATTGCAATTGACAGCTGAAGGAGCCCTTACTTGTTTGCCTTCTTCCCATCTGGCTGATATTTCCCATCCACTTCAGACTCACTCAGATCCTCTGTGGGGCTCTGGGGCTCTGACCTGGGGAATGCTGTCTTCAGGGTGTCCACAATGGCATTTACAACAATCTGCAGCGAGAGCCAGGAGTACCATCAACCACTGACAGACTTTTCCTGAATAGGAATCAAAGCGTTTTAAGCCTTGCAGTGTCCCTGTTTTCCATGTGGAAAAAAAAAAAGCCACAACACAGGCTCTGAGAGGGGCTCTCACCCTTTGTGGCTTCCTGGGCAAGCTCAATGCATCTACACAGAGTTTGACTTTTCTAGCTGCTGGTGCAGCAGCCATGCAGACACGTGCAAAGAGCATTTGGTGCACTCAAGGGAGGTTCACTCTGCCCATTTCCCACCACCTACCTTGTCTATCCTGGAGACAACAAAGGGCTTCTTGACAAATGCAATCCTGGCGTCGGTGTTCAGAGCGAGGAACTCCTGCACCTCCTCACTGTTTGCAATCTCAGGGACTGCACACAATTGCTGTAAGGGGAGAGGGTTTTAGCTCTTCTCAGAGTGAGCATCCCAGCTTTCTCACATGAAGTGCAAGCAGAAAACACCTGAGGTGCTCCAGTGCATCAACAGACAACTGTCCTGAGCCACTGCTTTATGCCAGTAAAATAAAATAGGAGCCAGCACAAGAGCCCAGCTCCCAGGTATCACATCAGCAGTGAGCTGATTGCTGCACCAAAGGAAGGGGAAGAGTGAAAACCATCTCAGCAGCCACAGGAAACAGTGGATACAGGCACCAAGTACCTCACCTTCAAGAAAGATTCCAGCAGACTTTTTCTGGCTTCCACTTTATCGCTGTCCATATTTCCAAATGGGAGATCAGGGAACAGTTTCTTTGGTCCTTTGATATCTGGAAATAAAATGCACATTTGTGAGCTCGAGAGAACTGCAAGAGCTGTATTAAAATCTTAATGCTCTTTTACTTAAAATGATCACTACTGTGCCTCAGCCCAATACACACCCCAGATCAGGCTGAGTCAGACCTTAAATCCATCTGTGTACAAATGAGGTAAATCCAATTTTTTATTTATGATATAGCTCATACACAACACTTGCTCACACAAGCAAGATGCTTGCAGATCGCTAACATTTTAGCGTTGCTGTTCATTGCCAAGGTGCAAAACTGCAAAAAGCTGTTTGGGAATGTAATGCAATAATGGGATGGAAAGTACAGTGATAATAGCAGGGCGACAGCCTTTTGCTGTAACAAACGAGAATGAGACATGCAGCAGCTGTGGATGCAGAAATGAAGGAAAAGAGCTGCTCACCTTTAGAAAACCTCAGTTATGCAAGGATCTCCAGCAAGAGATGCCTTCACCTCCACTGCCAAGCCTTAAATGAGGTCTGGGAAGGGGTGGAACCTGACTCCACCCCTTCCAATCACTCAGGTACACTGTATGCACCTGAGCTCCCCTGCATTGGCCCTGCCTTCCTACCAGGTGCCCCATCACTGTTTCAGGCCATGTCTCAGCATTTCCACTACAGGGAACAAGGATGATTTCTGCAACACTATAATTTGCAAGCTAAAGAAATCCCACTTCCCATCAGCTCTGCTGAGAGGACACAGGCACCTCAAACAGCCCAGCACCCAGACTGGCTCAGACAGGGCTGCATATGCTCAGAGCAGGCAGGGGCACACTGGTCACAGAGGGGTGGTCACAGGAAGCTGATGCAGCACTGACTTTTCAGGAACTTGCGGAGCTCCGGTTTCTCCTCCAGCCTGGTCTGCAGGTTGAGGAACTCCCGGTAGCGGCGGTTCACAGTGTGGTAGGCCATCTGCTGAAGGCTGCCTGCAACCTCACCCTCCAGGGCTGTCTCATACTGAGGAGGAAAGCAATGCTCGTTAACCCTTACAGACCTCCAAGCAATACCGCGTTGCACACACATCCCACCTAACAACTCCCCAGCTCTCTCCCCACACAGCACACAGGTTCCTCACAATGAAGGGATGGGTGACATGGGGCTACAACTCACCTTGATGGTGTACAAGGTGTAGGGGTGGAAGCCAGTCCCGCTGTGCTCACGGGCGGTGATGGTGCCGGTTATGCGCAGGTTCTGGATGACCACTGGTCCATCGGGGCTGCTGAGGGGCTCAAAGCTGAAGGTGCTGATGGGAGCAGTTGGGGAGGATGAGAGCAGGGGAAGGGGCTGAACAGGGTCTGATGGGCTTTGTGGCAGGGCCTCTGGTGTTCCCAATTCTCTCCCCAAGCTGCAGGGCCGTTGCACAGAGCACTTCTTGGGACTGTCCTCCTCTGTCTCCATCACTGGATCAATCTGGATGTCAGGGCAGGAGCCCAGAACATAAGCAGATGGGAGTAGCAGTCCAGCATCACTACTGGTGGTATGGCCATCCTCCAGATCCCCCATCCCATCCTCTGAAGTGTCTGCTCCCTCCAACGGAGTGGGAACATCAGGGAGATGCTCATCAAGAAACTCCCCAGCAGGTGATGGTGCCAGCAGCTCCACATCCTGGCCTGGAGAATCCAGCTCCAAACCCTCATAAGGAAACAGCAAGCCCAGGCCTCGTGGCCTCAAGACAACCCCCTCACTACAGGGTGGCTCACACAGCACATCCACACCATCCTCACCACCAGCCCCTGCTTCTCGCCCAGGTGATGGGGATAGAAGCAGTACTGCTGGGGCAGCACCCAGCTGAACTGTGAGAGGCAGAGAGTCTGGCACTGGAACTGCAGGGCTGGGCTCCTCGCCCTGTGCCTTCCTGGGGAAGGCCCCAACCAGCAGCAGGTTGATCCAGTCGGGGTCAGCCATCTTCCTGATGGCGGGCAGCAGCACGTTGCAGGCCACCAGCTCCACCACCACAAAGCGACCCGTCCGCGTCTCCAGGTGGGGCCGAGGCACCAAAGCCCGCAGCAGCAGCTCCACAGAGGCACGGGCATAGCTCACCTCAGCTGCCGGGCTGCAGAGGGCTGGATGCAGGCCCGCGACCCGGCGGTACTCCTCCCACAGCAGCCCGTGTCCCCGTAGGGCCTGCAGGTAGCTCTGCAGGTGACGGCCGCACAGCAGGAGCAGCCGGCGGGCCAGGGCCTGGCGGTCAACCCGTGCCATCCGCCGCCTCAGCTCAGCTGCCAGCCCCATCATGGCCTTCTCCACCTCAGCCTCAAAGGCGTGCTCACTGCTGACTGTGCGGTACCACGAGGAGACGAAGTCCCTCACCACTTTCCTGACGGTGCTGCTGATCTCCTGCTCCAGCAGCTCCTCCGCCTCAGGGCTGTGTGCCGCCGGCCGCAGGGATCCAGCAAAGCGCTCTAAGCGCAGCCTCCAGCCTGGCCTGCTCAGAGCTCGGGGTCCCAGCCACCCACCCAGCACTGCTGCGGTCCCACAAAGCAGCGCCAGCACCTGCAGGTCCAGCAGCAGCACCAGCAGCCAGCCCAGCACGGCCACCAGGGCCAGCATCTCACGGCGGCACGGCATGGTGCAGCAGCGGTGGGGTTCAGCGGTCAGGCTCTGCGATCTGGATTTGGTATCGGGGCTGCAAACACCGGGCCTCAGCCGAACCACCTCTGGGCCAGCAGGCTGCGAGGAGCGGGCAGCAAGGGCTGCAGCCGGTAGGCTGCTCAGAACTAACAGCCGCTGGGGCTCTGGGCACTCGGGCTAGGAGAAGCACGCACGCAGCTGGGCATTAGGGCCAGCCGAGGACTCAGTTAATAGAGCTGCTACCTACTGGGCTCCCAACCGAACATTACGGCCGCAGCCCCCTCGCACAGCACCACTCAATGACCCCACGCGGCTCCAAGCCCCGGGGCTGCACGCAGCACGGCTTCACCGACCGACCACACCGCCCCCTCCGCGTCCTTCCCTGACCCCTCACCGAGCACCAGAACCGCAACCGGCAAACACCAGAGCACCGACACAGCAACTCCGCGGCTCCAATCTCAGCCACCCGACATCGCTCCAGGCCCCGGAGCTCCGCGCTACCGGCTGCGCCCCGCAACGGCACGACCGCACCAGGATCCGGGCGGCGCGAGATCCGCCTCTTTTCCCTCCTTTTCCGGCCCCGCCCCACGCGGCTCCGCGCGCACTGCAGTGCCCTCTGGCGGCGGGCGCGCGGCACTGCAGCCGTTAGGCGCGCGGCACTGTAGCCGTTAGGCGCGCGGCCCTGTAGCCGTTAGGCGCGCGCTGGAGGTTCCCGCACGCGCGCTGGGCTTCTTTTGCACGCGCTGTGAAAATGGCAGAGTTCGCCTTCGCGGTTCTCGTCGTGCATTCAGAACAACAGCAAAAAAAGTCGGTGCTCTCATATTGACGTTCCAGCGTGCGCTTTGTTGTGATGGGGACGTGTGTAAAATGGTGCAGTATTGCACTTGGGCCGGAGGAATCCCAGGCATCCATACAGACTAGACGGAGCGGTCCTTGAGAGCAGCCCTGCAGAGGAGGACCTGGGGGTCTCGATAGATGAAAAGCTTAACGTGAGCCAGCAGTGTGCTCCGGCAGCTCGGAAAGCAAATGGGATCCTGGGCTCCGTCAGCAGAGGGGTGGCCAGCAGGGACAGGGAGGTGATCGTCCCCCTCTGCTCTGCTCTTGTGAGGCCCCATCTGCAGTGCTGTGTCCAGGTGTGGAGGCCCCAAGAAAGACAGGGAGCTGTTGGAGAGGGTCCAGAGGAGGCCACAGAGATGATCAGGGGACTGGAGCACCTCCCTCATGAAGACAAGCTGAGGGAGCTGGGCTTGTTCAGTCTGGAGAAAGGAAGGCTGTGGGGTGACCTCGGTGCAGCCTTCAGTACCTGAAGGGAGCCTACAGACAGGAGGGGAATCAACTCTTTGAAAGGGTAGGTAACAGCAGGACGAGGGGAAATGGTTTGAAGTTGAGGGAGGGGAGATTGAGGTTGGATATCAGTGGGAAGTTCTTTGATATGAGAGCGGTGAGGTGCTGGAACAGCTGCCCAGAGAGGCTGTGATGCCCCGTCCATCCCTGGAGGTGTTCAAGGCCTGGTTGGATGGGGCCCTGGGCAGCCTGGGCTGGTATGAAGTGGGGAGATTGGTGGCCCTGCGTGTGGCAGGGGGTTGGAGATCCGTGATCCTTGAGGTCCTTTCCTACCCAACCATTCTGTGAAAACACAGTGGCTCGGAGCTGAGGGATTCTGGAGGCTGTAAAGCTGCGGTGCTGCTGTGGGGAGGTGGCTGCAGAGCTCTGAGCCCCGTGTGGGACATCAATCACAGTGCGAGTCTGGCACAGAGAAGTGTGGTGCGGTGCCTTCGCCTCGGGGCTCGTTTCTTTCTCCCCTCCCCAAGTAGTGACAGGAGCTGCTTGGATGGATGGAGAAGGCAGCTGCCATCAATCCTATCCTCAGTCATTCCCTATGGTGAAATTGTGGCTTTTGTTGCAGTGCTTTTTTGGAAGATGAGCACAGTGTGAGCTGTGGCACAACGGCGTGCTGAGGTGTGGGGGTGTGAGGTGCTGAGCCCTTGGCTGGGGTGGGCAGAAGGCAGCGTGAGGCTGCTGCAGTGCTTTGGGTCTGACTTGGTGTTAAAGCACTGAGGCTGTGGATGAGCACTGTTACTATAGGATGGTGAGATTCAGATGCCCTGCTCAAATATGGGTGATGCAGGCACTCCTGACGCATCACTCAGCAGGCGCTGGTGGGACTCCCTCTCCCCCCCTCCACGCTTTGCTTTTAAATTGTTTAATGAGCTCCTTAAGCTGTTTAGCATGGAATTTGTCAAGGCTCCATCAGCCATATACAGCACAATGTGACAGCCATACTTCTATTACAAACAGCATATTAATCTTGGAGTAGCGCTATTTGTTTTCCTCCTTTGCTTTTATGGTGCTTAAAAGCATGTATCTTCTCCTGAAAATCAATAACTAAAGCTATGAATAATAAAAAAACACTGTGGCGAATGGCTCGTGGAGATCCTATGGCTGCAAGTTGCAGCAGTAATGACTCTGTTTGCTAGCCGTTAAGTATGTGAACTCAGAAGAATTATGCAGATTATAATAGCTGTATCAACATAAGTATGTTTTGCTGATAGACTTTCCTGATTGGATCCGCAGGACGTAAGCCTGCTAATCCCCTGCATCGAGGACCTGATTATATGAGAGCGCTCTGCGGATCTGCAGATAGAAAGTGAAGAAACAATTAAAAGAAATGCTGGCCCATGTGCGGCGTTTCTCCGAAGCTCTGCTGTTGTTGCTGTTTTTGTGTTTCTCTGTAAGATTTTTCTCTTTCCCTGTGGCTTGGCTGGAGGCCAATGGACCCAGCTCGGAGCCCTGCTGCAAACACACGCTTTGTGCTTTGCTCATTGATGTGCAGGCAGTGTGATGTGGCCCGTTGGACCTGGGTGTCTGCATGACCTTCCCTTCTCCACTCCTCAGCCTCCCAGAGATCTGCTGGCTGGAGCTAATAATGGTGCTGCAATGAAAAGACCCCCTGTAATTAAAAGATCTGCTCGCTGTGCACTTGACAGTCTTCAAAGTTGTACAATTTTGCATGTAGGAATTTGCATGTAAGATCTGCTTATTAACATCACCTTGCTAATATCAGCTGTCACTGCAGGAGGTTGCAGTCAGCTCTACAAACTCTGCTCTTGCTTAATGATGCTTCAGATGTCTTGTAGTTGGTTCTGGTGTTGCTCTGCGCCTCAGTTTCCCCTTCCTGTTCATCCTCTAAAGCTGTGCCACTCCCCTGATGCTGTGTGATTGCCTGGGAAACGTCCATGGGATGCACAGGAAGGTTGGTGCATTGGAATTCCCCATCCTCCCTGGTTGTACCTTTCCCTGTGCTGCTGTGGGCTCTGGCTGTGAGTTTGTGGTGCCTGACGGACACCTTGGCTCCCCTCTGCCTCTTGCATTGATGCTTGGAGAGGCTCTGGCAGCTCCTGAAAGGAGTAGAAAGGAGGTCGTTGTGCATCAGGGCTTGTCAGGAAAAGATTCCCCCGGTCAACAGAGATGCATGCAGAATTCTGAAATATGCTATTTATTTTTAGTTTAATTTTTGAGCAAAAAATAAAAGCACCTTTCCACCAGGATCTCTTCCAGCAGTTCTGCTCTGTGCTGAGTGGGGCAGCAGGTAGGAGCTGGCGTCTCCATGCCCATCTCAGATGTTTTTGCAATAGATTTGCAGCCAGGCTCCTCTGACTGGTGGTGAAGGTGGGACTGGGAGCTGTGGAGAGGCTGGGCATTTTGTCCTGTGCTCCCAGTCAGCACCCAGCTCCAAAAAAAGCAACCCAAGAGATAAATCAGACTGCCACAGGAAACATAGGATGAACAGGTCTTAATTATGGCTTAAATCCCAACTGGGGATGCGTGCATACTGTTAGTGATGGTTTCCAGGCTGCTGGGGGTGCTGTGTTGGAGTAGCAGTGCTGTACTCACTGCACAGGGACCGGGGGGTCACCATCACTGGGGGTGTCCCATTACTGGGGATGTGGGCAGTGGGCATGGTGGGATGAGGTGGGGTTGGGGAGCTGAGAGGTCCTGTCCAACCCGGATGATTCCATTCTGTGAAGGGTGCTGCATCTGACTTCATGAGAGCATCAGCTCTAGGGTTGGCTTCCACTTTCCCATATAGGCTAAGGGAAGGGTATGGGTTGGGTTGGCAGGAGGGATTTGTCTGGGAGCGGAGGAGGTGGAGGCAGGATGCCATCTCCCACCCGCTGCCATCCAACCTAGGAAGCCATTGCTGCTGCAGCTCACCCTATGCTGTCTGGCATCCCATTAGCAAATAAATTCGTTATGTTCAGGACAACGCAGTCACTTAATGTGATGTGCACATCACCAAACCCCAAACGTGCTGCGTGCGGAATCGGGCGAGTTGCGGTGATGAATGTCATGCAAAACTCCAAGGCACTAATTGAAGGTGGTTTCAACAGAATATTCAATTAATGCTCTCTGCGTCGCAGACAGTCTGGAAAAGGCGCTGTTTTCTCCCGAGGATCTGTGTTACTGTGCAACAAACAGATGAAAATGAACCGTTTTACGGCCTTCTAATTGAAAGTCGATGCACCAGTTTTATTAAAATTTTCATGGTGGGGGGAAATGGATGCCTGAGGGGTTTGGTAATGGGATGAGCGAGCTGCCTCGCATCCAGCCGCAGGCAGGAGCAGCTGGGAGCAAAGGGCTGAGCCGTCCCTGGTGGCACGTGTGGTGGTGGCAGGTGGCCCTGCAGTGGAGCAGGGTCTGCGTGGAGCAAAGAGAGGGACTGCTGTGTCTGTCAATAAACCCCTCCTGCCTCCTTTTGGGACGCGCTGTCCTTTCAGATGGGAGCCAAAAAAATGAACTGCGACTTCACAGAAATCAGCCTGTTTGCTGCCTGATGCATTGAAGCTGTTGGCTTGGGGCCTTCCCTTGCATTGGTGTATGAGTACTAATTTATGCTCCTGCATCTGATGATGATTTAGCTGTTTTAAAGTGTTATTTATGATGTGTTCCTGTACCCATTTTGCCATGATGATAGTGTTTTGATAATGGGAATTTACAGTCCTCTCTGACAAGAGGCTGTAAACCAACCGCCTGGATGTGTTTTTGTATTCCTACAGGCCTAATTTGTAACATAAAGCACTTAATAATTGTTATTAATGAACCTGCTGTGGTCAGTCTATGGACCCAGCTGGAAATCACATCTGCTGTTGGATTTGCAGTGAATTCCTGCAGGTGGAAGGAGCACGGCTGGAGCAGGACGGGTTTGGGGAGTGTATGGGATCTGCTGCATGGCCTGAGCCTCGGATTGAGGACCTGAGGCGAGCAAGGAGTCAACCTGGGAGCACAGGTGAAGGCAGTTCTGTGCTGTGGAGGGGTGGAGCCTGGCTGCACCTCTCCTGGACCCCATTTAAGAGCTGACTGCCACTGGGGAAGGTTTTCTTTCTGGAGATCCTCTGGAGTTTTGCAGTGGGCCCAGGACAAGGTAAGCGCTATCTGTTCTCTTTTTGGTGTGGTAACTTGTTTAGCCAAACTTTCTTGTTTATCTCATAATTATGATTTCTGTGCATTCATTGTTTACACAGGGAGGTTTGTGGCT